AGGCTGTCTGGCCTGCATGGGAAATCATGCTCTGGAACCTGCAGAGACCAAGCAGGATGCATCCCTGAGGATGGCAGGTGGGACACCTTGAGGGGGCACGAGATCACACCCCTGGCACACAGACTCACAGCCCAGCAGCCTTCAGCAGGGCTGGACATTGTGCTCTGCCTGGGAGCTGGGGAGCCACCAGGCAGCCCAGGGTGGGCAGGGGGAAGGGAGCCAACCTCCCACAAAGCTGTGCATGCCTGAGGGCAGGAGCTCCCAGCACACCAGCTGGGGCATGGATAGGAACAGGGATAATGGTTTTAAACTGGAAGAGGCTAGATTTGGGTTGAACATAAGGAAGAAATCGTTCACTGTGGGGGTGGTGAGGTACTGGAACAGGTTGTGAATGCCCCATCTCTGGAAGTGTTGAGCCAGGTTGGATGGTGCTCTGAGCAACCCGGTCTAGTGGAAGACATCCCTGCCCATGGCAGGGAGGTGGGACTAGATGATCCTTAAGGTCTCCTCCAACCCAGGCCATTCTATCATTCTATGATAACTTTGGTGGCCGGAAATAGCTGGATTAGAGCTACTGTCTAATAGTCCCTGCATTGTTGGGAGAAGTTGGGTGGGCCCTCTGGAGCAATTGCTCTCTAACTCTCCTGGAAAAAATCCAATTTTGAACCATAGCGCTTCTTTCACAAGAACAGTCAATTTTAGATCTATTAATGTCACTGATCTATGGCAGGAACACAGTTTCTCTGCAGTTTATCAAGAGCCCACTCACCAGATCTCCCAGAGCTTGTGTTAGTTTTCAGCAGCTCTCAAAGACCTACTGGGATGAACAGAATCTGCCTGTGGAGAGCAGAAAAAGCACGGTGACCCCAGCACCACAGGGAACCACAGTACTCTATATTCTTTTCTAATCACTATAGTGGTTTAGATTTTCTTTGAACTTGGATTTCATTCTTTCAGCTAAGACCTTCCCTCTCTCATGGTCCCCAGAGTCCCTGGCACATGTGTGGAGGTATTTCCATGAGCTCAGTCACAGCTCCCCCTTCGTGAGGGCAGGGCCAGTGGATTGCTGCCTTTTTGGATGGCCTCCAATGACACAGCAAACCAGAGGAAAGCCACGCTGCTGTCAGACCACGCTGTGACAGGAGCAGGCAGGGACCAGGGCTCTGCCTCCCCCCGTGTCGCTCTGCACGTGCCCTGCCTGCCCCTACAGAGCTTCTCTCTCTGAGGCTGCGTTTGGTGACTGGCCCAGGTAACAGCTCTACTGTCGCCCTGAAGCCTTCTGGTAATGTTTTCATAGTTTTAGTTACTTTCCCATGGAAGTTCGATAAACGTAAGTTGTTTACCAAATTCCTTCTAAGAAGCATCTTTTGATGGATGTTTCGCATGACCAGTGTGCTTGGGAAGATGGTAACTTAATTATCCAATCCCTGGTCATTGTCAAGAATCTATAAATACTGGAGTCAGAGAATAAAGGTTACTTCATTCCTGTTCTAACACTGAGAAGCGTTTGTGTGAATCATTTTGTGTGCTTTAGCAACACTCTACAACCCATTTCAGACTCTCTTAAGGGAAAGCCTAAGTATTCACAATTACAGAAGCTGACTAATTAGAACACCTAAACTGAACATACTGTTAGACTGCAAAAAAATCTCCCTCTACTGAACACCGCAAAGCACTGAGCTGCGTTATAAAATGAGCATCTAAAATAACCAAGAGACAAGCACATTTCTATACCTGGAACAAAGGTGCAGTGGGTTTCACAGATAACATTTTCACCATCACCAACAGAAAAGGAGGAGCTGCAGAAAGACAGGAAGGGCCAGAAAGGAGTGATACAGCTGAGACAGTCACTGCAGCAGGGAAAAGGTACAAGAAAGAAGTTTGGGGTTGCAAGGAGAGAGCTCAAACCGTGGTATGGTCTTGCAGGCTTTCTCTGTGCTGTAAAATGATGTGTGCTCAGCACTGAGCTCAGACCACAGAGCCAGCCAGCACAGACAGCTCACAGCCATCTGTGTCATACCATGCAGAACAGGATGGCAGTACACAACCAGGATCCCAGTCTGCCCAAGAACTGATGGGGCCTGTGCTCCTCCCTCTGTGTCAGACCTGCAGCCTGTGGCACGCCAAAAAGGGACAGGGGCAGTGAGGCTGGTGCCTAGGAAGCCACAGCTACAGTTTAATTA